TCCTGCTTTCTTAATATAGTATTAAGGATGTGTATCTCTTCATAATCAAGAGACTGAGTGGAGTTTGAAGAATCGGGTTAGTTGTGAGGGTACTGAATACAGGTTTGGAACTGCTTGTGGTAGTCTGAGACCAGTCTTATGAAGGACTAGCACAGTTGGGAGAAAATGACTTCTCGCTTAGCCAGCTAAGACATTTAAGATGTTTTGTGGTGTTATGTTGTGTCAGAAATTGTCTAAAAAAAAAAAAAAAAAAAACAAACAACTTGTCACATACTCTCTAACAAAATACATTTTTGTCTCAGGTGTGTTTTATTTACTGGCTCAAGATAAGCAACCTTCATTCTCAAAGATGGGAAAATCAAATCTCACTGCAAGAACATTGCATTTTACAATGCTCAGTGATTTTTTTCGATGGATTAATTGATATAACTGTTAAGACAACTTCAAATTGGAATTTAAATGAATAATGACATATTTTAAATACTAATCACAATTATGTGTACCAGTTTATGCATAAAGTTATAAAAAGTATTTGTATAGAAATATTTCTCTTTAAGTATGATACACTAAAACAGTTATTTCTGAAACTTTAGTACAATAGAAAATACTGAGAAAGTATTTCTTGTAAATAAGCTCTCTAAGTAGTGTCATTTACTGCACTTCAAGTGTTTTGTGAACCTCTTTTTATCACATGATAGTTTACTGTGAATTAGCAAATTACTGCAGGATAGGAATATAGTGGGTGTGCATGTGGGAGCAGCCATTGCACTGTCAGCTTCCAGCCTCAACTACCTTATGGTAATTTGTGTTCAGTACTATTTTCTAGCGTGCTGTGGAAGAAGGCAAGCACCAGCATAATTAAAGATTGGATTGTAATGCAAATATATGCAAAATTGTCATTTAAGAATGCCTGTATAAAATTTATTATTACTATTTAGTATAGCTTTGTGACATCACTTTGATTTTTCTGGTTTTGAACTTAATCATTTTCATTTCAGTTTCCACTTCTTTTCAGAAAAGGGTAAACTGGCTGTTAGAATTCTTTCTTAGTATTTTTCAGTTAGAATGGTTTTTAGGTCTTTGCTAAAAGTATAGAATTGAATCTGCAAAGCTAATATATGTCTATTTTAATGGTATTAATAAGCATTTAAAAGGGATCATTAAAGTAAATCTGCTTGAGCCTTTACTCGGATGTGGTTTTGTATAATATTTTGTAATACTACTTGAAATATTGACACCTTTTAAATAGGGTATTGTTTTTTAAAGGAGAAAGGAAGGGAAAATGGAAAAGAACAAAATATTCTTTATATGCTAACTCTCTCATTTTTCTTGCAGGAAATCCTGGCTGAGTAAAGTTGGAAGCCCAAGTTCTCGCATAGATCGAACAAATTTTTCCAATGAAAAGGAGATTCCCAAGCTTGACTTCTCAGGATTTAGCACTAGATACTAACAGAAGAAAACATCACTTAGCACAAAACTATGATGTTTCTGCTGCATGATATTTTCTGTGCCTCCATAAAATATCACAAGAGCATTTGAATGCTTTCTGTACTAGAGATAAATATAAATTGTCTCTATTCACATGAAGTAAGAATTTTTATTTGCTGTATTAGACATTTTACACTATGAATGTCAATATCTAATTGCATCTTGAAAGCTGGATAAATGGTTAAAAGTGTCAGTGATTATTTGTGCACAATGAGATTTGTTATCTATAACCATATGGAACTGAATCTTTACACTGTGATTCATATTTTAGATGCAAAATAATAAACTTAAGTTCTACTGTTTGTAATCTCACCAAAAAACTTATCTACAGGGCTGGAACACTGAGACATCTATTGTAACAGCTCTGTATTATAGATCATGTTATTTATGATAATTAGTTAAGATATAGTGGTAATTTAAAATAAATGTATGTTGCCTCAAACTAAGATTATCTAGCAGCTCTGGTTTAAAATTCTCTGTAATAATGCAGATAAGTCTTGGAAGAAGATAATGAAATGTGTGGCCTCTCACCCCTTTTTCTTTGTCTACCTACAGCTTACCTCCATACTGGCTATAACACGTTTTGATCTTTTCGCTTTTTTGATGTTCTTACTAAAATTGAAGATTTCAGTTACTTTCCTTATGGATGTATATTTGCTCTCCTTAGTTAAGAATGTGTGTTGGAACCTGATTCAACATGATGCACCCACATACATCATATCAAGTACATGAAAGGTCCTGAGAAACTTGAGTTATGTGCTTGCAATAAATATTGGATACTTCTTAGTAGTGTCGGATGTAATTCTCAAATATAGTGCTCTTTTCACAGGCAACGAGGAGTCTCTCAGGGCTGGAACCAGACCTATATACTCAATTTGAAAGTACTTCTGTCAGGGATTAGTACATACTGGAAGACTTTGGTTAGATCTCTGACATATCTGAGCAGGCACCTGTGTGACCTGGCAGTACTCTCAGTTAATCAAGATTGGTGCCATTATGCTATGATGGAGGCTCAAGCTGTAAGTCCCTGAGAATTGTGTTGTATATAAAGCACAGTTATAATGTAGTAATGTGGTCACCTGGCCTTGGGTTGGCTCTGAGCGTGGGCAGAGCCTGCTGGCATCTGCCTGGGCTGTACCCTGATCCCCTTCAGTGAGGATACTTAAGCTGGTATTTCCACTGGCTACTCTGTACCATGTCTAAGGGTAGATAGCCTCAATTTAGGCAACATCCTCAAATTTGTGTTTTCTTTTAATTTCAGGAAAGGACATTTCATAATTGAAACACTGCATGTTTTCCATCTGCAGAGCAAGGTGTGCTTAGAAAGGTATTTCTACTGACTACTAGATTTATTTTCACTGGGCCTTTGTGCAGTAAAATCTCCTTTCTAGAATTTGCAGGAGTTATTTATAAATTGTGTTATAGTTCAAACCGCACTTGACTTCTGTGGTTATACACAAGCATCCTTTGTTGAAGTCATTGTCAATAACTCTTGTTTGACCCAAATGGTAAATGGCAAAGTTCAAGTGTAGCGGTAGCTCAATAGCTGTTACATCCTCTCTGAAAATTGTATCCTGCCAAACACAAGTAGTTTATATTTTCCTTGAAGCTACCTGGCAGAAGATACCCCCGCAGCCAAAGGCATTTCCAGCCAAGTTGCTTTGCTCATATTTTGAGCAACAATAATAGAGGAAGATGGAAAACAAACAGGACATTAGGTGCACAGAAAGAGGAGCCAAAGATGAAATTGTTTTTTGGATGTTTGGTGTGGGTGAGGCTGGGTGCTCACAAGGACTCAGTAATTTTACCCTGACTCCACTAGAAGTGTGAGGCTTGTGGGGGTGGGGAAACAGCCACTTAAAATGCTTAATTTTGGGGGGAGAAGATGTGTGGGTAGAGAATTTTGAGGAAGTTGAAATATGTGAAAAAGTTACATGCAGATTTTTTAATCTTGAAAACAAAAGAAATATTTGAAGTCTTGATATGAGCACCAAGGATTGTAGAATGCTTTTCCTAACCAAGAAGTATTTTGGCAGAAGTTATTTCTAATATGGTATTAAGTAAATATAATTCCTGTAATCTGTGGCCTATATACTGTAGGCTAGATTTCTTGTTGTCTGTCACGAGGGTTTTTTCTAGATCTGTGATAACACTCAGCCTCTGTTTTTGTGCTCATTTTGAGCTTATCCGATGAAAAGGTTGATTCTGGAATACATCAATAACCTTCCTCTGCAAGTCAGCAATATTGATGTTTTCTATTTTAAATATCTGCTTCCCTCACATCAGGGATATGACAAGAGACAAAAAAATACTTGCAAGTTCTCTAGTGAGTTTAGCTCTGAGTGGTTTTGATATTCAAAACTGAAACACATGTACTTTGTGTTGTGCCATAATGTATTTTAACAGTTTTCTAATTTGCACGTAGTATGCTTTTCATTTTTAGAGAAGATTGTGCTGAGCACATAAGTACTAAAGGTGTGATGTTTCCCAGAAACCCTGGCTGGGGTTTTCAGAGGAAAATGGAATAAATATCACATTCTGCACCTTCAAAGTTTTGGGAAGTCTTACAGCTAGTTGTGCTTCTGGAGTATACTTGTGTAGAATTCTCTGAAGTGAATGGAGTTCCAAGGGACCTCTTCCCTTGCTTCCTCATTCTAACTGAAGGTGGAGGCCCAAGATGGTGGTAACGGTAATAATATGTAATGCAGAAAAAAAGTATGTCCCTGTGAATTTAAGGGTTACTGAGGCCAAAGCCCATCTGTTATCAAGCTGAGGAATTAATACTTGACTTCCTGAGTGCTGCTGACATCCTGATATGTGGCCATGGGGAAATGCCTCTGTAGACATTTTAGGCTCTTTTTATGTTGCATTGAAATCAAACTTGAATGCATTGTATCTGTTCTTAATTGTTGTTGTGTAGCCATGTTTAATTCATGCAAATGCCTGCAGTACAGTTGGGAACCTGTATTTGTTGAGGCATATAGCTAGCTTGAAGTAATTTGATGCACAGGGAAATACTTGATTTGCATGAAGTGGCACCTGCCTTACTTGTGGGTAAGTACAAGCTTGTAGGACTCTTGTACAGGTGATCATCAGCAATAAGCAAATAATCCTGCATCTCCTTGCGGACATGCTACGCAAAATGGAGGCTTGTACTGACTGCCAGAAGGAGATGGTATTGTTGAAAGCATGTTGAAAAGAAGTAGTCTAGAAGACAGTGTTATTGTTGCTCTCCTGAAAAGGCTATTATAAGTGAACAGATACCAGTTTGTTTTTTATAACTTGGGTGACTTTTTCCAAGACAGATATTTGAAGACTTTTCAAAGTAACTTCTGTTCTCTGTCTGAAAGATCCTTCAGATGGAGGCAGGATGCAGTCCTGCAGTCCAAGCAGGGTCAAGGCTTAATGGTGAGCCTGTGGCATAGCAGGAGATAGTGGTAACTTCCATTTGTCAGCTTCCCGGGTAGGTGAGTTCAGGCTGGCCTATGTGCTAGTGAGTCCAGGGGTTCTGGAGCTGGATGGGTTTGGATGAGTCTGGGTGAGACACCTTCACATTTGGGGAAATTTGAGCCCTCTGTAGAACTTGGTTCCTTGGAAATATTTTTCTGTGCTGCAAGTCATATGATGCTGTGTTACTGCAGCTAGTGAACTGTCTTGCACTGCATGCATTAATCTTACTGTTTTATTTAATCCTCAGATTATGTTAAAGTATTATGGGTCAAAAATCATCTGATTTATGGAAATACAGTGCGTGCAGAACATCAGAGCAGCATCTCTAGATTTAATGAAAACAACATTGATTTTGCTGAGCCAAAGATTTTCTGTGGTAAGATAGGGAAAAAAGTCAGGAACAATTGGCTAATTAAACAGCAAAACTAAGTTGACACCTCTTTGCTTTTCTGCTACACACTAACATCACTCAATTATGATTAGATATCCTTTATTTTTATTTTTACTTTTTTAAAAATGTAATGCAGTAAGAATAAACGCTGTATAGGCCAGCTCTATTCTTGCTGTAAGTGGAAATAGTTTCTACCTATCTAAAAGGGTTAAGACTTCTGAAAGTCTGTTCCCACTATTTCCAAGTTATTTGTGAATTTTGGACAATGCTGGCTTTCTTGAAGGAAAATTGTGTGCCTGACTCAATTCTACTGTAATTTAAGAAAGTTCACATCATTAAACCTTAAGACCAGATGTGTTAATTAAAATTGGACCTTAACTCCTAAATGACCAGGTAATTTAAAATATGGGTTTATATTTGATTTAAAAAATTTTAAAAAATCTTTGCTAAGCAGTGAACAGAATGAAAGTGTTCAGCCTTGTCAGGAATGATGTAATCTTGTATTATGCTGTTTACTCTTGATACTTAATGTTGTAATGCAGAATAGGAATGTTCTGCTACACCTACTCATTCTTGAGCCCTCATCCAGAGAAAAAGCATGATGGTATTTCCTGCCATACTTTCTCTTACCTGACATCAATCTGTCACTTTTTATTTTCTTGATATCCTCTGGAGCTGCCTTTCATGGCTTGCTTTCTTCTTGGAAAACTGTATGCATGTTTGCTGCTGGAATCCTCTTACTAGACAGAATGAACTGGATTAGTCAAGAGAGCTTACTGATTAATGTGTGGCTGTGTACTACTACCTGCTGAAAGTATTCTAATTTGAAGGGAATGGTGTAATGAAAGATGGTGAGGGGAAAAAAATGGCGCATGCTATATCTCTTTAAAAGTCTGTTTATACTGTGACAATACTGTAAACTGGAATTTCTGTTCATTCTTCAAGGCTCCTCACGCTACCTTGTGTGGGGGTGTAAGTTCTAGTATTACAGAGTCAGAAGTTATTATTTCTGCATCAAAACCAAAACACATGGCACAGACTTAAAATAACTACGCTTGCCCCAGTTCATTTCATATTAATACTGACATAACTGAATAAGAAATACTGAAATGGAAGATCAA